CCTCAGCAGGACCAAAAAGGGATGCCAGGCAGATTTATAATCCTCCTAGTGGGAAATATAGCAGCAATTTGGGCAACTTTAATTATGGTGAGCGTTTCCGTTTGGGTATAAGCAATATGAGAGATTAGGCAGAAATTGTGTTGTACTTGATTTTAATTACTAATTAAATTACTAATTAAATAGACTATCATAGTTCTTTCAGGTGACTTTTCGAGTTAGGTTGGGGAACCTGAACTGTCGGGGAAACAACTTAACCCGTTCCTTTCTGACTCACCCTTGTGGGCTCACTGAATTGAGCATGTAACACTGAGAACCTGAAAAATGTGCCTCTTGTATTCAGAGGAGACAAAAGAAAAAAAAAGGGAGGAAGATGGCATGAACCATCTATTCCTGGTTTTCCCTGTTTTAGCTTCAAGGCAAGACATTTTGTGCATTCTCCCTCAAGAATGTATATAGCTTCCATTCTTGGCAGATGTGGTATTAATGATCCTTCTTGGACCTTGTCAGCCTACTGCTTGTCCTCCCATCTTCTGCCCTACTTCAAAAGGAGAAGTTCTAGAAGGTAGAGTCAGATGTTAAAGCATCATCTAGCAAAGAAGATGTGTCCTGTTGCAGTCTCCCCCACTTCCCAGAGTGCAGTCCTCCTTTCAACTTTAGACATTAGTGCAAGGAGAGCTTCCCACTAGTCCAGTCTCTCCCAGGGCTGTTGAATCAGAAGTGAAGTTTGTCTCACTGGCTTATAAAGAAAAATGGACAAAAATTTCACTGACTCAGATCCTTAATCTTGCTTAAGAAGACCAAGTTTAATATTCAAAACCAAACATACTTGTGATTGGTCTTAGTTACCAAGCAGAATTGATTCTGCAGTAATTATTCCCAAAAAAGTACATTCTGAAGAATATGCTCTCTATAATTGTTTCCAGGGTGAGATGATTGTGACGTTAAGTAAATTCCTCCTACGATAGCTAAATTCCTCTAATATCTGAGCGAACAGATTATAGAAAGGCAATTTTAGATTGTGAAATGAACCCTTCTACTCCAGTCAGACTCTTTGAGGCAACTTTAGTGTAGAAAAGATCACTGAACTCTTTTACTTATATAATAATAAGTAAATGTGCATCTCTTAGCTTCTTTTCCTACCTGAAATAAAGGGATAGCATAGAGCTTAAAAACTTCAAAATATATTTGCAAAAGCATTTTGTAAATGGAAACGATTCTGTTACTTCATTGCACCAAATATTGTCCTCTGTCATTTGTATGATTTAATGTGGTGTTTATCAAAACCATTCTTAAAATCAACTATTCTCTCAGATACTATCTTCATTTGATATAGATGAAAGTAATCAAGAGGTATGGCAATACATAGAGAATTAAACTGTATTTATTTTCACTTAGGCAAGTCAGTTACTCTGAATTTCCATAAGCATTCTGCCCTGTGAAATTCATTACCTGCCTGATAGGGAGAATCGGATGATGTGATGCATGTGGAAAAGAGATGTGAAAAATGCAAAGCCTTAGGTTGTATGTGATTTTTAAAAAATTATCAATGTGAAAAAAATAAGCAGTTTTACTCAGGACAAATATCCAGGGAATTCCCTGGCATTCCACACTTTCACTGCTGGGGGGTTCGATCCCTGGTCAGGGAACTAAGATCCCACAAGCTGCACAGTGCAGCCAAGAAAAAAAGAAATCCAGGAGTCACAACTTGAGTTGTTCCATAGTACTCAAAGTAACAGAATGGCAAAACAGACAAAACTCTTGTCTTTTGTGTCTGGTATTCTTGTACTTTAATATTCCTATAGGGGTGAACCTTGTAATTGGAGTGCTTGTCATAAATTGAATTACAAAGCAAACTAAACTCTGTTCTTTTTGGAAAGTAGGAACAAAATTTCTGCTAGTACTTTTATTTTGGGGAGTTGAATGTGTCAGATTTTAAGTATTCTCATAGTAACAATTCAGAGAGTTTCCCTGGATTTCTTTCACCCATTCGGTTGAAAATCATTCTTGGTACTATAGATGAGAATTGGTGGACCAATCTACCTCAGATTTTTTCTACCTTTTTTATGTCCTTTCCTTAGGGAACTGACAGTGGGTCAGGAAGAAAGAGAAACTGTTGGATTTTTTTTCCTGGGATGTCAGAGTTGTCTCAAAGTTGGAGGGAAAAAATGTTTTGTGTTCTTGAGTCTTTAATACATAGATTTTATTACCCACATTTGGCAAAAACATCATAATTCCACTTTTCTATATCAGCCAAGCTCAATTTTATTTTTCCAAGGAAGACTGGTTGCATGGGGGGTTTTTTTGTTTTGTTTTTGAAGAGTCATACACACTGAAGGGTTGGGAAATTTACTCCTTTTGTGTTATAGGGAACCAGATAATACTAATATTGCTCTTATTACAATGAACAAGTCTACTTGCAAAGAAAATAGATTGTGCCAGTGTCACGGGCCCGAACTTGTTCACTACAGAGAAGGAGCCAGAATTTGTGATTGTTCTTTGAGTCCATGTAGGCATACTTAGACTTTTTTCCTTATCCAAGTTTATCACTTTACTAACCAGTGTCTCTGTTATTTGCTTTATCAAATGGCTTTTGTTCCCGTAACTTAGTTCAGCTTCCTGGTGCATTTTCAGTCAAATTATTTGCAAACATATACCCATGTTTAGTTTTCCTTCGTGCAGAAGAGAGTTCCCTGGTAGCCCACAAGTACTAATTCTATGTTTTGTGACTTGTATCCTTCAACTTTTACCTTTTAGAATATAAAAATAATTTTTAAAGTATAATTTTAACTGTAAGCTTGAAACCATTGAAAAGATCATTAAAGTTCAGAATAGTCCCTCAGGATGAAGAAAAAAGAAAGTTTGGTGACTCCCTGTATTGTAGAAATGGCTGCCTCGGTTGCAGATCAGAAAGAAATAGCTAATATAGAAAAGATAATCACAGCAAATAATACCTTCATACTATGTATTTAATATACTTATCAGATATACTGAACAATTGAGGGTAACTGAGTTCTTCATATTAAAATTGATTGAAAAACAATTGAAAGGGTAGATTTTAGTGGTCTGTTAGCTTATAGCTAATAATGATAGCTATGGGGGTGTTGATTTGTTAAGTGTGTCGATGTAAACTGAGAAATGAAGGTTATATAATGAGTATGATAGGGGGGAAATATGCAGACATCTGCATGGGTAAAGCCAAGTCTTAAACTGTCCAAAATGCAGGAGTTACAGCATCAAGAAGTTGGTGTATTAAGGCTGCTATGCTCCCAGAATGCACCACAGTCATTGCATCTATCGCTGGGAGTATCTTACCCACAGACGACCTCTGATTTTCTGAACGTGTTGGCTCATGATGGTTTCATTTAAACAGTTTGCATACCAATCAACTTAGAAAAATGTGTCATGACATGAGAGGTGACTTTGAATCAGATTCTGTTCTGTTGCACAGGTAAATGTTGGCTAAACTGGGGAAAGGTCTAGTTAGTTTTCTAACTCAAAAGAGTTTCTGGAGGGAAAGAAAAAAAAATCAAAACATCACCCAAATACAGTAACTATATTTCTAGCCATAATGGCAAAAAATGGATTGCAGCACTGACTTGATAGGAATTTTTCAAGCCTCCAGTATTATGGATCAAAAATGGCAACACCAGGTTCTTTTTATTGCTCCTAACAAGATTGCTGCAATGAGGAAGTTTGAAAAGTTCCAATAAGGAGATTCTATCTCCAGAATTAGAAGTTTGAGACTTACTTACACATGATGAAAAGTCCTGCCTTGCTGATAACTTCAATCAGTTTTCTTCACTGGAAAGACTCCTTTGAGGAATATTTCTCTGGAGCTGTAAAACAGACTGACCAATAAATTAAGGACTCAGTCCACCATATGACACAAGTAACTTGATTTTTCAGCAAAAGATATCCTTAATTGACATCAGTAACCCAAACACTGTAATATATACATATCACCTTTTTGGCAGCACTCTTAGCAGCTCATACGTAGCTGAAAAAGCAGTGAGGAAAGCCGTCGGAATTTGTATCAACATTATTTTGAAATACGGTGAGCAAAACAAATTGCCTATTTGTTGCATTTGAAAGGTACATTTTTCATTCTAGCCTGATTTTTCAGAATTGATCATTGATAGTCTAAGATATTTTACATATATGGCACTAACTTTTGAAGGCCAGTGGCTTTAATTCCATATTAAGTATAGAAATTTTTCTAGTTTCGTTAATTATCTTTGGTAGTGATAGACCCCAAAATAAAGAACTAACAATGTAGTTATAACATTGTCACCTTCAAATATCTTTATTAATGGGATACATTTAATTGAGTACCTACTGTGAATGTAGGCACCTTGCGATATGTGCTTTGGCATATATGATGCCCTGGTTTTATGTGAAGATTGAATTTGTAGATGGACTAGCAGAATACCGATGCTGTTTGTATAGAGCCTACTGCTACGTTCAGAGCTGCGAGCTACATTACTTCTGTGTGTGCTGTCCCATGAAGTCCTGAACGAGACCTAAACCCTTGTTCGCTTTTTCGTAGAGCAGAGAGGAGCCTTCAGGGGAAGTAGAGGTGGCCGAGGTTGGGGAGCACGAGGAAATCGTAGTCGGGGAAGACTCTACTGAATGAGAAGTCACGGTCTTCAGCATTGTCCTGAGCTTAATATACTTAAATTCTACTACTCTACTCATTGGATTGCCGGGGATGTCCCTTTAAAAAGACTGCTGCCTTCAGCTAAAACTTAATGTTCTTTATACCTTTGTATGTATGATCTACTTTTGTAACAGACCATGGTTGTGTCCAAGGTAAAACCACAGCGATATTTTTGGATGCTTTGTCTGCAATCTTGACTTGTTTTTGCAATATCACCATTATTCAGACTTCATATTGTGAATCTTTTAAACATCTTGATAATTTGTTATTGAGAGCTATTCAAATCTAAAATGTAATAAAATTCAGTCTAGTTCTGATAACTGGTAAAGATCATCAGTTCTGAAAGGTTACTGACTTTCCTGTCCTCTCTGTCTTGCCCCCAGCCAACATATGGAGTAGAGTAATGGTCAGTCTTGACATTTTATTTTCATTGTTATTTAATAAAGCCGCTAGGCAATGGTGCAGCATTCCTGGCTTCTGTCAGTAAAGCAAAATACTTACCAGCTTTCTTAAAATGTAGAAATGATATTACATTTTTAGGAAGAAGTAAGTTGCTTTGCACTGCTTACTTAACTCTTCTCCATATGTTGTGATATAAATTTTTGAATATGGGATCTTACTATTTGCATAGAAATGTGTATGTATAATATACATACATACATGAGCATATATCTGTGTATGTGTGTGTGTGTGTGTATATATATATATATATATATGCATGCTGCGAAACTTGACTACACAACATAAGTCATTTTTTAAAATTCCGGAACGGGTAGTCTTTGACACGGTGATTATCCTTTTGAGGCTGAATCCATTATTAACTTGTTATCTAGGTTTTCCTTCCAGTAGTGAGGGCTTTTGAGTCAGTTGCACTTACATGATTATTGTTATTTAAAACTAAAAATAAACAAAGGCTGCATTTTCAAAGGTAAATTTGGAGATCCCTGTTGGAGAAATACAGCCAGAATATTGAGTCTGATGTACATATAGGTTTCTACAGGATGAGATAGAATAATTTAGAATTTGGGGATTTGATAACCAGGGCAGCCCAGAAAAAGTGACTTGGTAACATGGTATACCAGTAAGTAAGGGATGCTCTCTCAGTTTGCTTTTGCCACTTTCAAGATTTTAACTTCTCAGGTTATTAATCAAAATTATTGTATAAGTTAGTCAATAGAGTCTTTAGGTTAAAACAACAGATGGGGGGTTTGTGGAGTGTTTAATGTCATGGGCATTTTTAGTAGCATAGGCCCTTTGCTCTGCATTTGAATGTTTCATATGTTTTTGTTCCACAGTTAATCTTCCCTCCCCAAGTTTGCTATTCAAATCCAATGCCTGAGTGACATTTTCTAGTAGTTGACATTTTTTTTGAGGCATAGTTTGTGATTCCAATACAGGTGTCTTCATTACTGTTACCTCTATATTGGGGTGATAGGCAAAACCCCTTTGTTAGAATTACTGCACATGTGTATGGGGAAAATATTTTTTGAAGACTAGAATGATACAAGTGAGCAAAAGAAGTTGGTCAGCTTGACTATGGAGTGGTGGCAATAATCTCTAAACATTCCAAAAGACAGTGAGCTGAACCTAAGCTCCCTTGGAATCTGAGCAGACACAGGAACATAGAATTGCCATTTGAAAACTGTGACCAGGTAGCCTGGACCTCAACGGCAGATCAGCCAGTGGCCTAAAGCCATTTCAAGTGTAGATGCTGTTTTGGGACTACAGTTATATAAATTTGAACATTAAGTGTAATTTTTCCTCTTTTTCTTTTTAGTATTTGTAAACTCAAAGCTGAGCAGAAGTGACTTTACTTTCTAAAGTTTGATATTAAGTTGACTGTGTTCCTTCCTTTACCACCTCATTGTTCCCCTTCCCTTTCCTAAGGCAATAGTGCACAACTTAGGTTATTTCTGCTTCAAAACTTTGAACGAAAAACTTCATGCCACGAATTTTTTTTCTTTTGCAAGACACCTGTATATCCCCTTGTTCAAATGTAAATGTTCCCTTATGCTTTTGAAATAAATTTCCTTTTGTAATTTTGTTTTGTGTCTTGTTGTGTTAACGATTATAACTTCAGATTCTTGGATATTCATTAAACATTTATTCATTGCTTCTCATGTGCCAAACAGTGTGTTAGACCATGAAAATATAAAGATGGAAAAAATACTGCTCTGCTTTCAAGGGTTCAGTATCACAAGTTATCTTTCATTTTCAACCTTTTGGGTTTATTTTTAAAAGCTAATACCCTTCTGAAAAAAGGATTTGGTTCTTTCTGTCAAAGCAAAACATCAGATACTTGCCAAATCATTATGAAATAATTTCTTCCCTCAAGTTATTATGTAAAGCAACTTCTTATTTTGACTCCCAGCCTTTATTTGTTTTCCTGAAGTAGCACCAAGGATGGATCAGAAAAAGTTACCTAAATTCTCTTGGTGATCACATCCAGTCCTATGTCTGTAATACCATCTACATGCTGAGGACTGCCAGATGTCTATGTCCACCCTTTCTTGCCTGGAGTTTCATAATAGCCTCCTGATTGATCTCCCAGCTATTACACTTGACTATAGCCTGTTCTAAACACAGCAGCAAAGAAACATACACTCTTCTACTTGAAACTGTTCAATGACTCCTCGTTTTAGAATAAAAATCAAAAACACTGCCATGGCTTAAAAGTTTCTGACCTCGGCTGCTGCTCTGCCCCAGTCAGTCAGCTTCATGCAGCTAGGCAAAGACACACTCCTACCTTAGAATCTGCACTGGCTGTTCCTTCTAGCCACATATCTGCCTGTCTGACTCCACCCCTTCGATTCCTCAAAGATCACCTTCTCAAGGAATCCTGTTTAATACCGCAGTGCCCCTTTCTACCCTGCCAAGACTCCAGAACCCACTTACCCTACTCTATGTTCTCTGGAGCGTTTGCCAACTTCTAACATACTATCCTAATTATACTGTATATTGGGTTAGCCAAAAAGTGCTTTCAGTTTTTAAGTAAAAATAAAAGGCATTTTTCATTTTCACCAAGAACTTTATTGAACAATGTATTCACCCTTTTATTCCACTACCTTCTGCCATTTTTCAGGCAACTTCATAATTCCATCTTCCCAAAACTTTTTATCTTTTTGAAACAAAGAATTGTTCCAGGCGCCTTATACAGCCTTCCAGGGAATTGAAATTTTTTCCATTAAGAGAATTTTGTAAAGACCGAAATAAATGGAAAGCCAAACGTGCAATGTCTGGTGAATACAGCGGACGAATCAGAACTTCCCAGCCAAGCTGTAACAGTTTTTGCCTGGTCATCAAAGAAACATGCAGACTTACGTTATCCTGATGGAAGTTTGTGCGTTTTCTGTTGACTAGCTCTGGATGCTTTTTGTCAGGTGCTGCTTTCTGTTGGTCTAATTGGGAGCAGTACTTGTTGGAATTAATCATTTGGTTTTCCAGAAGGAGCTCATAGCAGAGGACTCCCAATCCCACCATATACACAACATCACCTTTGGATGAAGACCGGCCTTTGGTGTGGTTGGTGGTGGTTTATTTCGCTTGCCCCACGATCTCTTCCGTTCCACATTATTGTACAGTATCCACTTTTCATCGCCCATCACAGTTTGTTTTAAAAACGGAACATTTTCATTACATTTCAGTAGAGAATCGCATGCGGAAATACGGTCCAGAAGGTTTTGCTTCTGTGGAATCCAAACATCAAAGTGATTCACGTAACCAAGCTGGTGCAAATGATTTTCAGCACTTGATTTGGATTTTTTGAGTATGTCAGCTATCTCCTGCATGGTTTAACGTTAACTGTTCTCAATTAATGTCTCGATTTGATCGCTATCAACTTCAACTGGTCTACCCGACCATGGAGCATCGTCCAGCGAGAAATCTCCAGCACAAAACGTCGCAGACCACTTTTGACACAGTCGATCAGTCACAGTACCTTCTCCATACACTGCACAAATCTTTGTTTGTGTTTCGGTTGCATTTTTTCCTTTATTGACATAATAAAGCATGATATGCCAAAAATGTTGCTTTTTTTCTTCCAACTTCAATATTAAAATGGCTACACAAAAATTCACCAATTTTGATAAGTATTTTTTTAAATGCTGACATGACAGCTGTCACATACAATCTAACAAAATTGTTTCGAATGAAGTTAAAGACAACTAAGTGCTACTAGAGCCATCTTATGGAAAAAAATGGACAATCCTTTTGGCCAACCCAATAATTTACCATATTTTTAGTGTCTCCCCCTGGTAGAATGTAACGTGGCTAAACTGCCACAAAGGTAAGGATTTTTGCATTTTATTCATTGATAATCCCATACATCTAAAACAATGCTTAGTACATAGTAAGCTTTCAGTAAATAATAAGTAGAAGGCAGTGTTTTATGCTGAGGATATAGTGGTGAACAAGATAGGCAAACTCTCATGGAGTTTACATTCTATTATGCAGAGACTAATAAATAAGCTGATTTCAGAGAGTAGTGTTATGAGGACACTGAAGCATTCTAAGGTGATAATTTGTAAGAGCTCACATAGAAAGAATGGTTAGAAAAAGTCTCTGAGGAATTCATTTGAGCTGAGTCCTGGATGATGATTTGGAGCCAGCCTAGTGAAGATCTCAAGGAAAGGCATTTGAAATGGAGGCAACAAAACGTGCAGAACCCTTGGCTTTAAGAATACCAGGCTGTGCTAAAGAATTGAGTTCTCAAAGTGCTTAGGTTCCTAATCTCGACCCCGGAACTCCTAAACTCAACCTTCGGTGAACTACTTTCAGTAACTCAAAGGGCACATGCTCTTTCTGATCCTGGGGCATGTTTCCTCTGTCTGGAAAATCTTTGTCCCCTGACTCTCCCTCTCCCATTCATCAGGCTAACATTCCTTCTTCAGGTCAGACTAGATTTCACTCTCCCTGGGAAGCCTTTCCGCCCATGCTGGGCACAGGACCATGTACAGGGTGCTCCTTCAGCTCA